CCGTTTCAGAAACACGCATTGTCGACTTAGAAATGATGTTTAGAACAATATAGGTTCTTGTAGAAAACGGGATCAAAATCCGATGCAATTCGTTTCTTACGACGTTCCAATTTGATTTTTTGAAGTAACCACCATTCCAAACAGTCATAAGCAACCGGTTCAAAATCATGGCGGAATTTGTTGACAAAAAACTCTGGACGTCTGATGAGTTCTGGTACGTTGCGCACTCCCATAATGCACACACCACGTTGGGACCGTTTACTTGAACACTGTCCCGGAGGTGCCCATTGTACGTATCTGGCCACAAATATTGATCGAGGATCCGATTCCTTCGGTTGACGAAGAACGAAACATCCACCGGGTGCTTTGAACTGTCGGTTGTAATTCAATGTGGTGAAAAATAACTCGTCTTGTGCTTTACTCTGGTTTCCCTCTGTACGTAATGCGGCGAGGATCTGAGTGGCGTATTTATTGGTCAGAATAAATTTGACCATTTCTTTCCGGAGAGCAGTATAAACGCTTCCCTTGAGCCATCGGAGCTGTGATTAGAAACATAAAAGGAAAGTTGAGAATAAGGAAGGATCACCTAAGATTAAACTGGAAAATGATCGATATAACCAAATGGTTCCTTTTTTATTGGGGATTGGGACTGGATAAATAAATTTAATTGAATTGGTCAACCAATTCACCTTTTCATTCAAAGTTTCCTCTGGATTCAGTCCGTCCACCGCTGGGTTAGACGGAAACGCAATTGAACAGCATTCTGTCTCAACCTGCCTACTGACCCCCAGGATGGGTTCGTTAGCCAGAAATATTCACAAAACTGACTCGCTTAGATGCAGCAGTAGTATTTGAATAAAAATATTTTGTTATCTCCCTTTCACAACAGAATGCTCTTGTTTTACTACCGTAATTTTCTTTCAAACTCTGGTCAAATAATGATCATCTCTCATTGCAGACAGGTCTTTACCGAAGCTTCCACGGCAACTGAGAATTCGTTGAAGGAGATTCGAAGGATTGATTAAGTTTTATATAGCCAGAAGCTGAATAGAGACATGTCCAGTTGGTATAGGCATGGAAGGAATAAAATGGTTACAAGATCTAATATTGCACATCTGGTGGAGACCGGGTGTTTGGTCAGTGCTTTATCGGCCTTCACAACTGTCTGCCTCGTCCTTGAACATGTGTCAAAAGGAATCAAGCTTTTGACAGTATTACTCTACCTCCCATAGACGAGAACCGAAACGTTACACATGAACTCAGGAGATGATGCAACCAGAAGATTCTAATTACATAATTTCGACAAACCCAATTGTCTCCTGGTGAAATTGGCTGGATCAACTTCCTAAACCATGACTCCCCAAACGTGCCACGTGTAGCATTTCAGTTTCAGGTTTTTCTCATGAATGTCAATGCAACGATTAAAATTGATTAAAAATGAAATCGTCAAAAACGTATTTTTGCTTAGAAAGTGTCGAATCTGACGGTTTGTATTGCGAAGATATCATTAAAAGAAATGCCCGGTTTTCCACGGGTGAGGCGTAGTAGATATTTCTGTAAAACCCCACTCCTGTTAAGATTAATTAATTTTATAAGTTCACAAACTTGTTTACAATTTTAAGATTACATGTCGGGAACGGTAGCAGCCAGCGATAGATATAGACGTCGGGTGAGTGGTTTGCCCCTGTGTGAACTGCTTCATATCGAGCTGACTGAAATTGTTGATTTAACCAGTCAGTGTTTGGAACGCGGTATTCAGTCACTGAATTAGAACTTCCATTTACGTTGATCAGTTAAGACCCAAAGCCTGTTAGATTAGACCTTTTATTCATAGTCGCTTCACAATTAATTGTTAGCAGAAGGCTACAGGCTGGACACAATCGGTCAGTTACCCCTAGAGTAAGACTCAAGCCTAGTTCTTCACAAATCTTAAGTAGACTGCATGAAACCGGAGATTTTAAGTGGAGATATAATTCGAGGGGATACCTGTCCCATATACTAACTCACAAGCACCAAAATTGAAAATGGAAACTGCAAATCAATTTTCACTCTCCCATGGGGTACTTATCCCCTCTAATAAATGCAACCAGCCATTCGTGAATAACTACGGTATAGCAAAAGTGCTCACACGAGACATGTTACAGTTCTAAGACTGGCAGTAAAAAATGTTATGATTGCGCACATGTGTGAACATCAGTGAAATATAGTAAATCAGTTGGGTTTTCGGAATAGATAGCCAAAGAAGAACAACGCTAAGGTTTGCAGTGAAACTCAGTTTACAGTCTCACTCGGTATAAATTTCCTAATCGAAACACAAGTGACTGGAACATCAAATCTATTCGAATTACACCACTACACTTTACTTACCCGGAAGGAAACGCGACGCTTTGGAACTCTTTCCCTGACCGCCTTTATACCGTCGAATTCGACAACATTAGATCCGTTGATCACCATCAGTGCCTTCACCAGCTCCCAGTTTGTCCGAAGCGGGAATTCCTGTCCACTAACATTAAGCATATATTTCCAGGGAACATTGAAACTTCGCAGAAAATATTTGGCACACTGAAACCAAGCTTCTATTGTACCCAAGTCACCCCAATTTATAAGTATGCTTGATTTCAGTGGTATCAAGTGAACATTTTCACCGAAACACTTGACCAGATTCGTCACTTGATTCCGAAATTCCACGTCCACTTTGGCATCTACATGAATACAGTAGCTGTTGTGCCTTCGGTAGACAGCTCTGAATAGACGAGCGAATAGAACAAACTCCCTATGTATATTGAATGCGAATGCGAGTGGGAATTTCGTTTCTTCTTCAGATACGAATGGCTCATCTTTGTCAATTTTTTTGAAATTCTCGCAGAAAATGGCGTCGGAAAAATTCAAGTTATTACTGATGGTTGAGGGTAACTTGGCAAGACTTTCCGTGAGATTCCGATCTTGATGTTTGGAGATAACATTTTGACAAAGCACTTCCCTTTTGTCATGATGGGGTTTCAGGTTTTGCATATCAAATAGGCTTAGGGATTCTGGTTCCAAAATATTTAGCAAATCATTTTGAAAAAGTAGTCGGTTATTGTATATAAAAATGAGGATTATGATTGACAAAAGTATTTTAATTCTTGGACGCATTGCACGATATATTGCGTATAAAATGGCAAATATAACTGATGATGTCCAAACACAACGCAGGGCAGTAGTAGTCACGTGATTTGCAAAAGGTCGATAGCATTCAAATGATATGGTAATACAAGAAGACATTGTCGAACTGCATATATATTCTGACAGCTATCATATTTGATTCATTATGCTTTATCAGTGTTCTTCAAAACATTGTTGACGATATAATGCGCAATATGAGCCTCCATATGATAATTGTTACAAACGCATGAACTTTATCTCGATACTGTCTTACCGTAATGTTTTTTCTTTCGAATACCGATTTCACAGACAATGAAATAGAATACATCTGGAAGCGTTTAGGAATTCATTTGCTGAAGGAAAACACGCCAATATATTGGAAAGCATACAAAACGATTGACTGATTAGATTGTTTTGAAGCATTTCAGTTGGTGGGATATTCTGCTCAATAAGCTGAGCACTGTTAACCCTGTCCTGAATGGTTGTCTTTTAGTAGTGTAAGTTTCACGGAGTAAGCCTGATAAAAATCACTGATAGAACTTTGAACTACGTCAAGCACAGCCAGTCACTGATCGCGTAACTCGTGAGCAATCGAATTACTACCGGTTAAACCGGAACACTTGTGGTGATGACAGACTTGTATTAAAGTATCGTGGTCCAGGGAATGTACCGGGAAGCGCTACCAACCAGTTACGTTAAAGCACGGAGGCAATAATGACTAATGAGCGCAATATCGTGCCAATCGATGGAAAGAAAAAAGTGAAAATTCTTGCGCGGAAGGTTACAGTATATACCGGTTGTGTCAAACAAATATTATCATGCGTTAGTATTGAGGTAATGATATGAACATACGGTTAGATTACAGGGAAAAAGTAGAGTCCGGTAGATGTCAGATATTGTCCGGATTTCCTTGTTCAGTTGGTTACACTACAATCTATCACTGAGTCTGCTTGTGATAAGCCTGTGGAAAAATAGGATACATATAGGTAAACAGCTAAAACACGAAATGTACCATGTTACAGACCGGGAAAAGTAAAATTCGTAATAACGTAGAGGTGTTCGAAGAAGGAGAAACAGTAATTTACTTAGATTTTTCACTTCCCAAGATAATTCACTGACTGACATGTCAAAGTTCTCCGCAGCTACAGAGCACAATATCAGGTCACTTATCTGATCTAGACGAGTAACGATAAAAAGGAATGGTGAAATGTTAGTTTGTGTATTTGTAAACCCAGCAATACATTCAAGTTTATCCGAAAATACAACAAAAGAATTCGTGGTTTCCAAGGGGTTTGGTCAAATTGATTAGGTTATTGGATAGAAATACGTTATGTACTGGCGAATAATAAGCATATGGAACGGTAAGTGTCACACGTTGAAGCACTTCCATTTTTCTTTGCTCTCTATTCCCCGTGAACTGAACATTGATCTAAGCAGTGCGTAAAATTAGCATTCTATTGATAAAGGAAACATAATATCATGTAACAAGGCTTTCCAGGCCAAGAACATAAGTGCCCAAAGTTCAGTTAGAATTTGGACTCATTTTGGTTTAAATCAATCTACTTATTGTTTGGAAAAGAGTAGTTTAAACCGGCGATACGAAAACGAAACTTCTCTGTAATCAAAGAATCACATGAACCCATGGCTGTTCTATATTTTCCGTGTTAGTATTATCCTTTTGAGTATTTGAAAATTGACAACAAGATTAACTAAGATGTTCTGACAAATGACCGATCCACGGCAATAGAAGTATTACATCCGTAGGATTTAACCACAACAAATAGATTTCACGTCGGCCGCGTTGATCATCCCGTGTATTAAGTTCCGCACGGCGACTGGCAAACTTGGCTGAGTCAGCGATCAGTACATTACTGTAAAATACAGTCACCTATTACCACTATGACAGTGAGCATCTTCACACCTCCCCAAAGTCACCTTGAAGAAGATACGTAAACATTCAATTTATTTTGTGGGAAAAATTATGAGCTATGGGAAGATTGAACATGGTTATTTATATAAAAAAAGAAACAGAATGCCTGCTTTCACGCAGTAATTATATTGTGAAACAAATCGAGAGACATTGTGCAATGACTTTTAATGGGGTAACTTATAAAAATTAGGCAAAATGGAGTAAACAGTAAACGAAAACCCCCTTTGGGAAAATAAGGTGCTGGTTGTTGCGTTTGACAACAAATTCCATGGATAGTGTGATTCGGAGGTGGAACGTGCGCTTGAGTAGATTACCTTAATACGACCAATACAAAAATCCTAAAACGAACATCTGGACAAGGTATGAAAAAAGAGAAAAAGGGCATTGTTGACGTTTACGTAAACAGATAAATGTTTATTGTGGAAAGTGACTCATAAAATATGGTAAAATAAACCAATTTACGTCTATTATAGAGACGGGGGTAAATTTCGTCCCACTGGTTGAAGTAAATGAATAGCTGTCAGTCTGGGTTCCAAAACGGTGTATCAGAAGAGGGATGTTGTCAGTGATACAGGAAACTTGATTCCATTCACATCAAAACTACTGATAGAAATGAAACATTGTAACATGCTACGAGACGCATTCAAAATCCTATAGAAAGAAAATAATACCAGGCTTCTGGAAAGCTTTGAGATACCGGGGATCCGAAATTACCACTTAAAACTATGTAGGCAGTGGAGATGGTTTCCAATTCTGATATTATCTTGGTGATAGATGTTTTAATGGGGGATATTGATCGCAGACTTTTTCGACCTAAAGAACAACCAGCGACACGTGTTAGGGTCTATGGTATAACTGTTTTGGTTCTAGATTATCCATGAATTACACTGCTCATAACTTAAAGAAAAACTGATGTTTGGAATAACTTCCTTATTTCGTTGATGCACTGTACACATAAAAGAATTTTGGCTTTCTGTAGAAACCAAAGTAGACACGAATCTCAAATCATGCGTCACGAATTGCACGCGGAAAACGGAATAGTACGGGTAGTCTTATGCCGAAGTACTACTGTCGCCGAGATGCGAGGAGGAAGGTCACAAAGGAAGCAGTTCTGTTTATTGGAATAAATCAATTGGAATAAACAATATGAACAAAGAAATTTAATTGGTTAAATAAATCTGCCAAACAACAATTTGAACAATTAACCTTGTGTTAGAAGCTCATTCGATGGAGTCCGGTGAATTCTAAGGAAAACCTGTCGGGGTAGTCAGCTTACATGCTAACTGGTGGATGCGACATGCCACTGTAAGTTGGATGGGTAAATTCGAATGTGAAAAGGTCAATCCTTTCGGTGTGGCCTCGTAGCTCAGCTGATAGAGCGTGCGCGTACAAAGCGTTGGTGGCGTCCATACGTGGGTTCGAATCCCACCGAGGCTACTGAACTTTTCACAATCGACATACAAACTTCAAATATAACAAACAACAATTTGAACAAATAAATCTTCGCCTATTACCTGCTTGTGTTTTCGTAGTCACGCAGCTTTTGCTTGATCTACATAGCTTCTGGTTGATCGATCGCGTTTGTTCATTGTCCTGAAACTGCAATAAGTTAGATTAAATCACCTCATTTCCTATGCTACCTCATTATATCAATGTGCAATTGCGGCATTTTGTTTCGTCAGCAATTCTACTCATTTCAGACCACAGTTGCACTTTGTTCTCTTCTTAAAAAGAATTCCTTACTTTAAGTGGAGTACTCGTTCTGTTTGGCTTCTTTATTCAACCTGAACTCTGGTTCATGCGTTAGTTCAAAACGTTTCCTAATTCCATTACTCTCTACGAACAGTTAAGATTATTTATTTGAGTCGGCATCATCAATGGAATTTTAGTAAACTGATAAAATGTTTTACTATTCTGATGCATTCAGTCATTTGATACGTTGAGCTGAACGGATTAGTTTTCAAGCACGATATTTTCCGTTGATAATATGCCCTATTTCGTACTCGTCTTCTTTAAGATAACTCAACATTTTCTTGTTCCATCTTATTTTATTTTCTCCAAAGAAAATTAAGAGAGAAATATGCACAATGTGCTTGCAATGCGAATAATTTTTGGAATCTAAGAATGTAAAACACACGATTCTATAATAAGCACTCGTGCAATCGATACACATTAATGCCTCATACTGTTACCACGTTCAAGAGGTTAAAGTTACTATTTCACCTGCCCGAATGTCATCAGTTCAAAGCTCGTCTAAGTTTTTCTTTCTGAAAATTGACTGTTGATTGTGGTATTGAAAATTAAATTCGATAGGCGAAACAAGTTGTATTTTGATAAATTCATCAATTGGTTAATTAAATTTTTATAGGTAGACTATTCAATATTGTTTGATCTGGTGTGAGGTGAATCTTATTATCTTATGTACCCCATGCAAGAAGAAAATACCTTTACTTGAAATTACCGTACAAGGGCAACAAGGCGGTGGACCAGGTGAAATGAACGGTAAGCTGAACGCTAAAGAGAGCATTCACTGCGGTAACACTACGCATCCGTTTCTCCGGATCGCCTGCAATTCGTTTCCATCTCAAAGATATATTTGTCCCTTAGGGTCATATCCATATGCATTCACTTGTTTACTTGGTCCTGTGGAGCGAGCTACATAGGCCGGAGGAAACAAATATCAAAGAGAATAAAGGAACACCACCCTCGATGATTAGCACACGGAGAAACGAGGACAACAAAAACCGCGCTATACCAACACATGCTCGAGACTAATCACCAAGTGGACTTGAGTCCAGTGTTCACAACTGTTTTTACGTATTCCACCATTATCATCTCAATAAGCAGGCTTTATCATTCTATGTACGGTCCAAGCATTTGCATTTGATAAATGCGTCACAATTACCACTCAAAACTGCCTATTCACATTTCTGTATTT